GGCCAACGGCAATAAAAGTAACGCCAAAAATCCCGATTTCGCCCAAATCAAAACTCAACGGGAACAATATATCATTGATCTGTAATCCTGAGAAGTTTTAGTGTAGTATTGACCCGGCCAAGCGTGATGCAAACGGATTTTTTGAAGGTTCTCTTACTCTCCTCGCATCTTTTGATTTCGCGATATCCTGTCCAAAAATCAAAGTTTGGTGCAGGCGCAGTAACGGGATACTGTTCCTTTAAAAATAACTGAGAAAATTATCGAAAGAAATGTTTGTTAACAAAAAGAAAAAGAAACCCCGGTTAAGCTCTGATCGGCCTTCGAACAACTGCGCCATGTAGAACATCTATTGCGCCAGTAAAACAAAAAGTTCTTTATACGCCCGAAGTACTCTGGCCAGTGTCTCCTCAAATAACAAGCACTTCAGACGAACCATACGATACCACGCTGATCACTAGCCTTCAAAACCTTTTCATTATGATACACAGTTTAAATCGAGGTTTCGCTGTAAGCAACCCTTACATTCAAAATATACCTTAACCATAGTTATCTATCGCAAGAACCATCCACCCTTTCCCTTCAACTGCTACCTGTGCGCCTAGCAAACATATCGAACGCACTCTCCTAAGCTCCAATTACTCTTAGTATGAAAATAAGAAAATCCCACCCAAAAATGTTTTGCTCTTATGCCGGGACAATAAAGATAAGTTTCTGATGAGAGTGAAAACGTTACTGTTTTCTATTTTTTGCTAGAAAGACTGTAATTTGATTTTAGTACACTGACTATCATGTATTACAGAGGTAAGTGCTTTCTATTGATAATGTTCTACAGATTAAATGTGATAGTCTGGTTTCATGAGGGTTGTGGCATCTTTTAATATAGGAGTAAGGACTCATTTTTTTTGAACTGTGATGCATTACAGGGCTGTCAACCCCCAACATTTACAAATATTGAGAGTTGATAGGGAAGGGATGATAGATGACATCATAATGCACGGCACATGATGTCATTTTTGCAAAAAACACTCGTTGATTCCAATCGTCTTGAATATTTGCAGTGACTCAAAACACTCGAAACAGATGTTGTTGGCATTGTAACATAGTTTGACCAATCACATTTTATTGCTTATATTAAAATTGCATACCGGAGTATGCGAGGAAATGTTCAATGTTAACATTAAAAACTCAGCCTACTTTTGAAATGACCAACCTTTCACAGTTTAACATTAAAATAGTTCAAACAACGCAAAATATTTGAAATTTCATTGTCAGAGAGTCGAGTCAAAAAGAAATGGCAAACTTGCGGCGATTATCCAGGAGATTTCATACTCTAATCTGGAGACTGGGAGATGCGGTCCAAAAACTGGAGTCTCCCGGATTATCTGGGAGAATTGACAGAACTGCATTGATTCTGGACTGGGACTCATAATTTTTCAAAAAATGAGTCCCAGGACCCACTATTAGCAAATTGTAACAAAATCACTGCAATCCAGAAATGCAAACGTAAAAAATACCTAGATATAACGAATAAATGTCATCATGTGACCGAAAAATAGGTGAAGATGAATGTGAAACAGACCAACGAGTAGAAAATTTATCTGTACAGTGGATTTAAGCAGTTTTGCATGCCTATTCTTGTGTTTCCAGTGCCATAGCTATGCACAGCTCTGAACAAAGACGATAGCTTCGTATTCAAATGTTCATAATTTGCAGAAATTGTTCAGATCCGGAAATGCTGGACTTTGGAAATTAATAATTAACTATACCTCCATAAAACAAACATTTCTCATGTTATCCCAAAAATTTGTTACATTGAGATTTTCGATATAATGAACCCTCGACATAACGAACAAATTTTCCCCGTCCCTTGACACTTCATTAAATCGAGGTTCCAAGGGTGAGGACAAAACATGGACCAGGGGTCCATGGACCCACACTTTGGACCAGGTCCATGGACTACTTTCATGGACCGGGTCCATGAACCCCCTGTTATGGACCGGGTCCATGGACACTTTTTCTTAAGTGATGAGAATTGAACAAAAACAGATAGTGCAAAAATAAGATTTGTCAAGATGCTGTTCACAAATATTTAGTTGTGCTTACGTACTCTGCTTGCACATGTAACGCGCTCCCATACAAAGACTCACATTATGAACAAGCTGAAGGTTAGAATTCATTGCTTTTAGAGCAATTGTGACTGAGTCACATCGCAATTCTCCATAGCTGATGTAGCTAAATTCAGTTTAAGCTACATTTCGATGTTTGGATCTGTAAATCACTATCCATGAGAATTAATCATCCTGCTAAAAACGCTAACAAGCTGGGCCCAGCGTGACCAAACATTGACCTCTCAGCATGAAATACACTGAAACCTTTATTTAGCGGACACCTCTATTAAGCTGAGACGCGGACACCTAAAAAGTACCTGAAATGGTCATTTTTCTATCGTTGCCAACCTGTATTAAACTGACGATAATAATTAAATTCCACCATCCAACATGCTAGACACCGGAAATGCAAAAGATTGCCTCAAATTGCCACCCACAAATTTTTCGATTTTTACTTTAAAAAACGTGACTTGATTAGTTTCACAGTACACATGAGTACAGTATTGTTTTCTATTTCCTTTTGTTTGTATAGAGCTTGTTTTGCTCATCTGATTTATTTAAATTTGATTTGCAATCTATGTTTATGGTACTATGATCAGTTGGTCCACTTTATGCAAACATATATCATCCTAGTCTCTCAGGGAGTATTCTGAACGTTTCCACTGTTCATTTGAATGGCATTTGACACCTCATATGACATTATCTATCGAACCTGTATTAAGCAGAGAGTACAGCATTCCCCGAGGGTGTCCGCTTAATACAGGTTTCACTGTAAGCAGCAAAAAATTCACATTTGCTCAGTCAAAACGTTTTCCACCAAAGCATAATCCACCTGTCAGAGGAAACAATTCAGAACAAGCAACATTTTGGCGTGAGGTAAAAGTCATGTGTTTACATTATAGAAGCACAATTGAATAATACTCATCAATCAAGTATTGTTTGTTGTTGTTGTTGTTTTTAATCTTACTTTTGCTCTATTTCTGTTTCGGTCAGTGTAAAATGCAGACTGCTGACTGCAGACTGCAGACTGCGGACCAGGGGTAAAATGCAGACTGAGTGTAAAATGCAGACTGCAGACTAAGAGTAAAACGCAGGCTGGAGTAAAATGCAGACCGAGCATAAACTGTCGTCATGGAAGGGTTTAAGGCCAAAAAAATCCCGCAAATACATGTAAACGAACACTTACTTGATGACATCTGCTTTCACAAATCCATTCCTTTCTTCTCTGGAACGTTGTCGACGACCCGAAAACATAATCACAATCTTGAACCTTTTTTCCATCCGAGAGACTTCACGCTTCAACTTTTGATGCAAAGTTTTCGATATACGTGACCAGGGACCGTGAACTGGTACAACACCACGATGTTTACGCTTAAATGAAAGCTGCTGACCCAAAACACTGTACAGGAATTATGGCGATAAAAACGGGAGTAAGTCATTCCAACAACAAAGAAAAGATGTTCTGCAGGAAATTTGGATGACGTTCTATGAAAGTATTGCAAATCAAGGTACGCAGACTTAAGCTGTTTGGATGTTCATTGAAACTTCTGGCGAATGTGCAATTCACTTCGACTAGGAAGCGAAGTGTGTAACTGATACTGGCTAGCTATTTCACCGATTTGAAGAAGAAGGAGCACAAATGTTTAAAAAAGTCTACAGTCTTTATTCTGCATTTTACCCCAGCCTGCATTTTACTCTTAGTCTGCAGTCTGCATTTTACACTCAGTCTGCATTTTACCCCTGGTCCGCAGTCTGCAGTCTGCAGTCTGCAGTCCGCAGTCTGCATTTTACACTGACCGATTTCTGTTTTTGTTCATTTATCACTATTTTAAAAAAACTGTCCATATGAACCCGGTCCATGACAGGGGGTCCATGGACCCGGTCCATGATAGTGTTCCATGGACCCCTGGTCCATGTTTTGTCCTCACCCAGGTTCCACTATACTGTTAGTTTGTTTGCGAAATTCCGCGTTCGCCTTGCTAGCAAGGAAAAAATAACGGATTCCCATTTTTGGATATTTTTGGGTATTTAAAGAATACCAACAAAAATCCCAAATCTGGAAGAGTGAGACAAGTCCCAATCTGGGAACTTGGTTGGGAATTCCCTGGTTGGGACTTGTCTCACTTTGCCAAATTTGGGATTTTTATGGGTATTCTTTAAATACCCAAAAATATCCAAAAATGGGAATCCGTTATTTTTTCCTGTGCGCGCGCGCGCTTGGCTCAGATCGAAGCGCCTGTTAAGGTCGATGCACACGAGTGGTTTTGCTCCCGGAGCATGCTCCAGGCTCATTTTGCACGTGTCAGTACACACGAGGGAGCGTTTTCAACAAGTTCGCTCAATTTGCAATTTAACCTGTTAAATATCGTGGAGCATTTTGCGGGGTGGAAATTCTGCTCCCGAGGATGAAGTATACCCATGAAATCGTTGGTACACATGGAGGAGCTTTGCTCCCGGAGCGTGCCCCGGGAGCATGCTCCTCGAGCAAAATCCCTCGTGTGTATCGGCCTTTACGCAGGCAGGCTACAAGTAAGATTTCCGTATAGCCCCATACATTAACTGTTTGTGACAAAAAGAAGGGACAAAGTATGAAACTGCTGCATGCAGAATAAAAATTCAAGGGGTTATTGTATGGAAATCTTGCCCAGTCTTGAGACTGTTCATTTGACTTACATGGTTTGACAAGGTAGTTCCATTTTCCATCAGGTAATGTGTGCGGTCGCAAAATTATAAACAAGCCATCGATGGTACAGACGACACCCGTCACAAATAGCCAAAACACGACCCAAGATGGTAGACTTCGCTGCATTATCGTGAGTTCTTCAACCAGACGAAACAACCACAGTCACGAGGAACCCTGGCCCATAATGCTATACGGTCCCTGCTTTAATCCGTACTCTTTCAACATGATGCGCCAAAATCTTCCATCTTGGGTAGCCTTTTGGCTTCTTCTTTCCAGCATTATTTGTGCGATTGACGCCTTTTTTGTTCTGTTACGCCCTCATACACTACCTGGAGGAAAGTGGAATTACCTTTTCAAACCATGTGAGTATGGCGCTTTTTACACCCCACTATTTTCCCGCCTCTGTTTTTGACTGGAGAACTGCATCTTTGGAGATCTTTGAACAGGGGAGGACGCTGATCCAAAATGGGAGAAAAAAAAAGAACATGTAAAGTTGACCTGTAAATTCAAATGAAACTTTTTTTTTCACTACCAATCTGCAAGTTTTACCAAAAATGTTTCCCACCAAAATGAGGCCTAGTATAGTAAGTGCCTAGCAAATGAAAGTGAAAATGGGATAAGATATTGATTGGCCTGATGGCAACTCCATGATTGACCCAGAAATAAATAAATGGCTTGAATAGCTTAAAATGACACTATTCAAAATTTCAAGGAGCAAATGGGTTAAATCACTTCAGCTCTTAAAGTTTTATTCTAGATTTGATTGGTGGCTTGTTTTATTATAGTCTCTCTAAGGAAAAAAAATGAAGCAAGAGCCATTCAGAGATTGCTCTCTGGCATGTAGGGGTTTAATATAATTCTCAGTAATTTTCTGAGAATCATCCCTGTACCTTTTACATGAGTTGCCCCCTTCCTATACACTCAGGTCAGGTGACAGGCAATATATCAACAGAGTGGATACTTTCTCTGTTAAATCCTATAAGTGAACTTCCAAAGAGCAGTTATGCCATCAAATTATTTTCTTGTTCACACATCCAAATGTTGTGAAAAGTCCTGTCATTTTTCTGTTTGTATTCAGACAATATTTACATCCAAGTTGATGCAAGATACAAAGATCTTAAAGATGCATTTGTTATTGGCCAAAGCTGGTAAGGTTTTTTTCAAGTACTGTTTTGGATATGGAGCAACTCTGTGCGCTCATCAAAGGAAATAAAAAAATAGTTTCTTATTGTCATTCCATGAATGTTTTGTATACGAGATAGTAAAGTGTATATAGCCAAAAAAGCATGTGGTGCCAATTGGCTATAACTGTAATCACCTCATAATCCAACAAGCATGAGTGGAATGTAATGATTTACTGATAACTTTTTAATTTATACTACAGTCAAACCTCCATGTGCAACCACCTCTCATAAGCGACCACCCTCCATAAGCATTTTGGGTAGCTGCTTACAGGAGTTTCAACTGTAATTCTCAGAAATGAGACTGGAAGAGACAACTGACTCAAGCTTATCATAGACTGTTTGTAACACAAATAACACAGCTAGGGTTCGAATCACTTTACTAAAACTAGCACAACAGTAACACGAGTCGTAGGTCTCCTAAACTGCACATGTCCAACCCAACTCGGGCTCAGGCCCCACGCTACACTACCCCCTCCCACATAAGGTCCGAAGTACAAGAGAGAATTTTTAACTTAAGCATGTAAATGTTCCTACAAAGTTCAAGGGCCAGGTTGGGTAAACAACAACTGTTCTAACATAGTCTCGTAGCCAGACAGGCTCCCTTCGCTCACGTCTTGGCCTCGCAGCATGACACGGTTCACGACGCGGTTCATCACTCACTTGAGAAACCTCAGACTGACACGGCAGGTCAGCAGTTCGAGGGGATGTACTTAATGTAGCACTAGATTCACCACTAGATTCACGCTCCTGGAAGGGATGAGAAACCTCTGTGACTGTAGCAACTGGATTTTCCAGCCATTCCAATTCGACATCTCCAGAGTCAACTAAGGTTCCTCGAGACGGTTGCTGCCCGTTCCTCAGGTTCTCCGCTTGTGGCGTATCTTCCGCATGGCTGGAAGAGGTTAACTGTGAGGGCTTCTCGTGGATTTCCGGTGGCAAAAAGCATGGCTTCAGATAATTGAAGTGGACCACCTTCCTCTGACGACGTTTTCCCGGCTTCCGCCTCTCCTCTTCAATGCGATAGGTAACATCAGATAGAGCTTTCACCACCTTCCAAGGACCACACCAGGGTTTGAGGAATTTCTTCCTTCTCGTCCTGGTTCGGTTTCTATACCAAACCCGGTCTCCTACACGGAACCGCTGACCATGGCACTTGGCGTCATAATAAGCTTTCTGGGACCTCTGCGCTCGCTTGAGGTTCTCTCTCACTATCTGCTCCGTCTCTTCCAATTGCTGCTTCTGCTCAACAACATAATCGGGGTATGTCCGTGCCGACCCTTGGGAAGGTGTTGTCTCGAGCCTAAGGAGAGCATCCAATGGCAGAATAGCTTCCCTGCCGAACATTAAGCGGTAAGGGGTAAATCCCGTCGACTCATGCACACTAGTGTTGTAAGCAAGAACTGCTTTCGGCACAAAGTCCGCCCAGTCCCGGCGATGGTCAGAAATCAGCTTACTAAGGATCTTCACCAGAGATTTGTTCAGTCTCTCTACCTGCCCATCCCCTTGGGGATGGTAGGGCGTTGTCCTTGTTTTCGCTGCGTCAATTAAATCGCACAGACCTTTGAATACAGCTCCATCCACATTGGCTCCCTGATCAGAATGCAAACCCTCGAAACACCCGAAACGGCATATGTATTCATCCATCACCTTCTTCGCCAGCGTGACTGCTGAGGTGTTTCTCACTGGGAAGGCTTGAGCAAACTTAGTAAAATGATCGGAGACCACCAGCAACCACTCATGGCCAGAGGTAGATCTTGGTGTGGGACCTACGATGTCTATTGCAACCCTTTGTAGGGGGTGCCCTGCCTTAATGTTTATAAGGGGTGCCTTTGGAAGCTTGCAAGGGCGTTGACTTCAGCACATGGGACACACCTTCTCACGTGCATCTCGACATCTTCCCGCATGCCATGCCAATAAAATCTGCTCCGCACTTTTTCTAGAGTCTTCGAGACGCCAAGGTGGCCTGCTGAAGGATTGTTGTGCAAGGCGCACAACACTTGTGACACGACGCTCTCGGGCAAGCAGATTTGATGATAAATCTCTTCGCCTGTCACTTCGTGTTCCCAACGTCTAAACACCAGACCGTCCCTGAGAAACAGCCTTCCCCATTGTGACCAGTATGACAAAAGTTTGCGCCCCCCTCCTTCCACATCGCCTCTAGCAGGTCTGACACCAGTTTCAAGCCACCTCATAACTTGCGACAGGACAGGATCTTGGTTTTGGGCTGCACGTATACGTTCTCTCGACAAGGGTTCCATATTCACAGACTGAATCAGGGTGGCGTCCCTCTCTACCTTAACCGATGCACCCTCGTCCCAGGGAAGGCGGGACAGTCCATCCGCATTGCCGTGCAACTGACCCGGACGATGTTCCACCTCGAAATCAAAGTCACTAAGCCTTTCAAGCCACCTAGCCACCTGGCCTCTAGGGTTTTTAAAGTTCCGTAGCCACTGCAGAGCACTATGGTCAGTCCTGACCCGAAAACATCGCCCGTAAAGGAATGTCTCGAAGTGCTCCGTTCCCCACACGAGGGCCAACAGTTCCTTCCGGGTGGTACTATAGTTCCTTTCAGCCTTTGATAGAGCGCGTGCTGCGTATGCTATTACACGTTCTTTCCCACATTGAACCTGCGACAACACCGCCCCCAGCCCACTGTCACTGGCATCACTGTCCAGGATGAACGGTACGTCTAGCTGGGGAAAAGCCAGGATGGGAGCACTCGACAATCTGTGCTTGATGTCCCGGAAAGCTTCCTTGCACTCAGCTGTCCATCTGAAACGGTCCCCCTTTTGACAAGCACGGTGCAAAGGGGATGCAATGTGGGCGTAGTTTGGCACAAATTGTCTGTAGTAACCAGCCGTCCCCAAGAACGCTCTCAGCTGACTCTCATCAACTGGCTCCGGCCACTCCTTTATGACTCTTATTTTCTCTGGATCAGTAGATATGCCCTCCCGTGACACGACGTGACCTAACACAACCACCTGTTCACACAAAAGCTTGCATTTCTTGGGGTTAATCTTCAAGCCTGCTTCTGTCAAGCGTGACAACACAAGTGACAGTCTCTCCCTATGCTCCTGTAGTGTTCGACCAAAGACAATGATATCATCTAGATACACTAGACAGTCTGACCAGCATAAACCCTTCAAGATAAGGTGCATAGCCCTCATAAAACACGCAGGTGCATTCGTAAGGCCAAAACTTAGTTTGCGGAATTGGTAAAGACCATCCGGAGTTGCGAACGCCGTCTTTTCCCGATCTTCCTCTGCCACATCAATTTGCCAATATCCCCTAAGGAGGTCGAGATGAGAAAACCACTGTGCCCCAGATAAACTCTCCAATATGTCATCACACCGAGGAAGCGGGTACAAGTCTCGCTTGGTTACCGAGTTAAGAGCGCGGTAGTCCACACAGAAACGTTGACTGCCATCAGGTTTCGCTACTAAAACCACCGGAGAGGACCAAGGGGAATCGGACGGTTCTATAATCTCTGCTTCGAGCATTTCATCCACTTGGTTGCGCATTTCTTGCCTTTTGTGAAAGGGAACTCTTCGCGGCGGTACCTGGATTGGCTTGGCAGAGCCTGTGTCGATGGTATGTTGTACGCCCTTCGCAGTACCTAAATCCCACGGCCCCTTTGAAAGGCAGTCAGCATAAGTGGACAACACCTCATAATGCCTAAGTTTTTCCTCTTCCGGGACCAAATCGCTGCTGATAGGGAACATCTCTTCTACCAATAAACTGTGAACGTCAGCGTCCCTCACAAAAACCGCACTACATTGTTTAGCTTCCAATCCAACCTCAACATCTTCCTTTGAGGCCGTAGGGGGTACCACCTTGTAGCCCACACCCACATTGGTTTCCTCCTGTGATCCCTCCTCGCCAGCTAATGGGTAGAGGTCCCCTATACTGCTACACCTGTAAATCTTGAGGGGCTTGTTAAGGTAATTGAACACACGAACTGGGATTCGACCTCCTTTCACAGTCACGGCCGTCCGAAAGGCCCCAGCTGAATATCTTTCTGAAAACTTGTCCGCTGGTTCCAGTACACCCATACATTCGTCTAAGTCATCTACCCCTTGGACCTCACAAGGTATGTCTGCGACCATATTTGGAGATAATGTGACGGTTTCGGCCACAGCGATCCTGTAAACTCTATCAAGGCATCCGAAAGCCATTTTGTTGGGTCCCTCCTTGCTGTAGACAGTGTTAGTGTCAAAGTTAATAATACATTTGTGAGTTGTTAGGAAATCTACACCAATCAACACTTGTTGTGCCAAGCCTCGGCACACCAGCACTTTATGCTTAGCCCTGATTGCGCCCAGCTGAATTGTTACTTCTGTTTCTCCAACCACATCAAGTGGCATGTTATTGGCTCCCAGGACAGGCTTCAGTGCGGACTCAAGTTTGTTTATATGTGTCTTAGAGCGACTGTACAGGTCTTCACTGATAATTGTTGCTTCTGCACCTGTGTCTAATAAGGCTTGAGACTTAACACCATTGACATCACAAGGCAAAAATGCTCCCTTTGGATTCTCGGGCGGGGTCACTTTCGGCTGCGCCCCGCCCATCTCCCGTTTCCCTGGTCGGGACGGACTTGATGTGGACAGTCACGAATAAAATGAGTCGGGCTACCGCATTTAAAACATGCTCTGGGGCCTTGTCCAGATTCTAAACTTTCATTCCTACCTTGCCTCCCTTGAGGAATATTCTTGAGCTTCTCTAAGATTTCAGCTTGCTGTTGAAAAAGCTCCTTAGCCCACGCTGGGGGTTCTTGGGTGCCCTGTTGGGAGCCAAACTTTTCCTGCTCCCCAGATGTTGAAGACAGTACTCGAGCACTTCCCTTGTTTAGCACTCTTTGATTTGATTCATATCGCTGAGCTGCCGCTAGGGCCTCATCCAAAGTATTGGGCCCTAAATCCAACACCTTCTCTCGCAATATAATAGGGGTTAAAGCACCCACGAAGAAATCTCTGGCCGTGCGATTGAGTATATCCGGGGGGTCATCCGGATAGGCCAGCTCCACAAGACGAGAAATGTCGCACCTCAGTTGATGTAGATCTTCGTCAGGACGTCTTAATTTAGCTCGTAGAGTGGAAATGTGTACCTGACGAGATTCCTTAGGATGAAATCGATCTGTCAGAGCGCGTTCAACGGCCGTCCACGTGGCTGTTTGTTCGGCAGTCAGGCTGTAATAGGTCTGTTCGGCAAGGCCTTTCAGGTACGCGGGTAATATTTGACATTGAAGCTCAGGACTCCACTTGTTAAGGGCTGCAATACTTTTAAATTTCCGTATCCAAACCACCCAACTTTCGCCGGACGTCGCAGAGAAGCTCTCCGGTTTGATGCGAAGCGGGTTTTCTGGCGACGTGGTCGGTGAACTGCCGCTTGCACCAGCCTTACTTTCACTTTTCTTTCCAAGTTTCGCCTCGAGGAGCGCCACTTTCTCTTCCAAAGCTTTCACAGTATCTTCCATGGCAAAAAATCCCACTGCTGCCACCAAATGTAACACAAATAACACAGCTAGCGTTTGAATCACTTTACTAAAACTAGCACAACAGTCACGCGAGTCGTAGGTCTCCTAAACTGCGCATGTCCGACCCAACTCGGGCTCAGGCCCCACGCTACATGTTCACAGTCCTCTAGCTCTAAGATCATCGAGATCGAGCGCTTTGTGTTACTGGCTGCTATCTTGCATGAGTGTTAAAACTACTTAGGGGACGGGGGCGGTTTGGGAGGAAGCGAGGAAAATGGGGGGGCTGTTATAACACCACTGCAGCTCGCGTTCAGGAGGCGTGACAGGAATTTCTCGCCTTTTACCATTTCATTAATTAAGAAACTCCACTGGTGATGAAAAACATGCCAGACGCATTTAGCATCAATTATGCGTTTTTACAAATATCTTCAGTGATTTAAAAAAAAACGCCTGCGTTGCTGGTACAACGTGCTCCGTGAACGCAAACTGCAGTGATGTTATTATAGTCCCTCTATTTTTCTCGCCCCTCCCCCCCCCCCGAGCTATAATCCCCGACACCCACCCCCTCGGTACATTTGAAAATTAAGATACCTAAGACGTGGTATATCTAAACAATGTCACGAAAAAATAGGGGGCTGTGAATGGTCTAAGCTTATCAATGCAAACAGACCAAGAATGAAAAAATTAAAGTGTGGTGTAAATAACTTTAAAGAAACTATTTGACCTTTTCACATTAGGAGCTGAACAATACGTGTTTAAACAAAAGAACTTGTGCAACGCTTGACTTTGTTTGAAGCTTTAGATTGATGTGTTTGATGCGGGTTCATAGCCTGTGTTTGCATTTGCTTGTGGTTTCTCTTTGTTGGCTGAACACTGCAGATGGTTTGGATGGTGCTGGAAATGCATTCTAAGAGGTGCAGACCCCCACCCCTCTAGAAACTCGTACCTTTGGTGCGAGTTTTTTCCTTCTCCACCTACTCCAAAGCTTTTGCCACCTACTTAACCCATTCGCCCCTGAACCGCCCGTAACCGCCCGTGCAGATCCACGTCCTTTCTACCCTTTGTGACGTCATCAGTTTTAACGGTCAAGGACAACTTTGCCCGCTAACTTGTGCAGAGTGAAGAGATCTTTCAAACCATACCAGAATGAGCACAATTCAGTCAAGGATACCGGAGAAAGAGGCAAAAAACCATGTAACATTGACCTGAAAATCTCCATGAAAATCTTGTTCTATTGCCCAGTTACCTTTCCTTTCACCTAATCCTAAGATCCTAAAAGCTTTCCTAAAAACTATTCCCACCAAAATGAAGCCTACTAAATGCCCAGCAAGAGAAAAAAAAAATGAGGCAAGAAAAGCGAAAAAAGAGGGGAGGAGAGAAAGCGAAAAGTAAAAGTCAAGACTGCTGTGTCACTTTTAAACCCAAAAACTATGTCGAAATTTTGCTTTCTGCGCATGCCCGAACTTCGCAAGCTGATATTTTGCATCTGGATCAGAAGGCCATGAAGTGTACGACCTGTAAACCGGTTTTTGGTAAGTTTTAGCTCTTTATAGCACGACAGTGACCAGAAAACCACTCGACTAGCTTCAAAACGCGTTTTTCGGCAAAAACTCCAGGAGCGAATGGGTTAACATCTCATTGAAAACCCTGTTCTTTGCTGTTGTTTTGCACGACTACATCATGAAACTTCCAGCAACTTCTAGTTACACGTTTTATGGACCAAATTTCATGTGTTCTTATTTACTTGTTTTGTTACTGCTGCTCATTTTTACCTTGGTGGCCGCTAGCATTTCTCATTTTCTCCCCACTGCTATAAAATTTTCATGTTGTTCTTCCAACAAAAAATGTCTCCTTTGTATTTTTTTCTCTCTCTCTAGCTCTATGTCACTCTTTTTCCTATTGAGCTTTGCTGGCCAGTCTCCTACTTTCTCTTTTTCGGCTCCCTCTTTCCCTTTCTCTACATTCCAAATTTGTGGACATGACAATTAATCTAAGCTTAATACTGCATGCAATACAGATACAGAAACAATTTCGCCTTTCCGTTTTTATCTTTATCAGGGTCTGAAATTGCGCCTTCCTGGTCGCCAATGCGACTAAAAATTCAGTCCTGGCGACCAGAATTTCATAGCTGGTCGTCAGCTAGCAACTTGTAAAGCTGGTTGTTATTGTGGACTTTAACGTTCGGAGAAACTTCGAAGCTATTTGCCAACAGGTGTCTTACTTTTGTCCTGCTGATATTTTTTAATTAAAAATGAAACGAATCTTCCTGTAATAATACCTCCACAACAGCTACGATCAATATGAGTTGCACGTTTCCATGCCGTCATGTTGTTTTCCATAGCTGAAATACGGCAAGTACGTTATGTACTTTGTGGACTGGTACGAGCAATGTGGTACAGTTGTGGCCTGGTACGAGTTTTGATATGATAAGTGCAGTCATGGGCAGAGAGCTTTTTGTTCCTATGTTCTAGGTCAGATAGCTTTATATCTCCAAAAAGTAATTTGTGGAGAAGAAGTGCAATTTTTGAGCATAAAAATGTCCATACCATGCATTTTTTATTCGTGTTGTAACTTTTATTTGAAAAAAAGGGAGGGGGGATTTTTGGCGACCACAATTTGCCCTCTGGCGACCAAAAATTTATACTTGATTGCCAGTTGGCGCCCGTATTAAAAAGTTAATTTCGGACCCTGTTTATTGATTTCGGTTGTCTCTGCTTTACAAGACACAGGTGGCTATGCAATTTCCTGCCAAAATAACCTTGAGTTGCATTTGGGTTGCCATACATGTTGACTGAGTTATTTTACATTGGTGTGCCTGTGGTGCGGACAGACGGCGGGCGAGCAGACGGTCATGTGATTACCAAAATTTCTCGGATGGGTAGATTACCACATTTTCTTAGGTATGGGGCTTAATGATAAACTACATTGTAAACAAAACAGAAAAGCTAGCAGAAATGTTTTCCCTGGGAGTGTGTGAATATTTTATAAGAAATAGAGTTTTGTTCATACTACTCCTGCATCATAAGCACTTCACAGATTGCCCAATAGGCCATTTCTGAGCTCCAACTCCTTTGATTTTTAAAATGATGCCAAGTGCAAAAATGATCAAAAGACTGTGAACTTCCCTCAATGCTTTTAAAAGGAGGCTTTCAGTGGCAACATGGAAATGGCCTATTTTTAGTGTGCCCACCTTTACTCATTCTCTCTTTTTTGTAGGATGAATATTGTGGAAGTATGCCTAAACATCGTGACATTTATTTTGGTGAGTGAAGGAACAACCATAAGTAACAGTCACAGGCAACCCAGTTTCACAATACAAACTGATCTACACTAAAATCCATAGCCTTGACAGGAACAAAATGTATGTGTATTTTTGGAAACAGTAGCAAAGTGTTCCAGATGAAGTTATATTTGTCATTTATTTGTGTTATTCGGGGGCAAATTCTCAGCCAAGTAGTTTCCATTGTTTGTTTCTATTAATATAAGTTTACTGATCTTGTAAGAATTGAAATTCTTGGGGTCAAAGAAGGCAGGGGAGTAGTGTGGTCTGGATTGAAGACTCTGTTTGCGAGTCAGACCAAAATGTCAGTGAAAATTGAGCAGTGAAAGATTTTTTTAACTCAGCACAAGTTGCAGTCAGTTCTTGGTTATGCTTATGTTTGACCTTGAACCTAATTTCTTGATGATCTTGATAGCTCAAAGCACTTTGTATTTGAGAAAGATTTACCTCATACGTTACCTCTAAATTTTTTCTGTAGGCTTGAAATTTATACATCTTTAGAAATGATGTATTTGATCTAGCACAGTTGAGCCATCCATTTTTTAAATTGTTATTTCCTCAACCACCATGAGTTTTGAAATTCAAACCTTTTTTGAAGTTGGTTGATCAACAAATCATTTCAAACACTGGACATGAGGTGTAACTAAAAAACACTTTGGGTAAATCAAGTTGGGTATCCTGTGGTAAAAATAAATGAAAACAAATCCTTGTTTTTTTAAAAACTTTTTCAGCATTATTCCATGGATTACACAACATACTGTATATATAGTTATTATTATTATTTTTTTTCACACTATTTTGACAGCCCATGTGTCTCTGGGGCGGATCCAGGGGTGGTTCGTTCGAACCCATTAAACCGAAATGACAACATCTAAACACGAGCAGTTTCTGACAAGAACCTTTGGTGGACATACATTGCTAACAAATACTATATGTTTAATCTTTTGGAAAATGACTGTGATGAAAAGAAAAAACATTGACAGAGGAGAGTCCTTTCCCGCTTTTAAATGCCGTGTTGATTCCATTTTTGAAGAAAATCAGAAGTGATTTTTTGAGCACATGACAAATACAAATTTATAACCGGTATTTCAGGTTTTATATTTGTTATTGGTCTCGATCGTTGTAAATTTTTAAGAGTAGTTCATGTGTAAAATAGCTAAAAAAGGGATCGTTTCAAAGGCATGAGACAACGCACAATTATCCTTTAAACGCCTGGATCCACCCCAGTGTCTGTCCTCAGAAATTAACATATTGTAATGTTAAGCTATCACACCTCTTTTTCAGCACAGAAAATCCAGTGTAAAGTCTGTCATTTGTGGGATTGTTGTAAGCACAATGACCTGTGCCAAAACTATTCTCTTCACACTTATGGCCACACAACTGTGTACTGAAGAAGTCCTCTTTGAAAATGTGGATTGGCCTATTTTTGCCGGGTTGTTTGTCATTCCAAATTCAATTTGGATTGTAGTGCCATTTCTTTGCATTGTTAAATTAAGCTCAACATTAATAAACAACATGGAGAAGCACAAAAAGGAGGCATAATGTGACTAGTGTATTGTACAATATTTTTGTAGGCATGAAACAGCGGCGAGAGTGAATTTGTGCGTACATGACGTGGATATTACAGGCACTAGTTCACCACATGTTCTACATTGCACCTGTGTTTATAACATATAACTTAAACTTAACATGTCACTTAATTTGAATTTGTAAATTACATAATATCAGAAAGGTGTGGTTGAAGTATCTGCTTTCCACACCGTTTTTGGTTTCCTCATTGGCAGTTTGAATTTCAATAATGATTCATGATTCTTAACAGTATTTAAGAGAAAGTTTTTACATGCATTAAAGGCCTTTCCTTAGGTGTTTGCAAAAAAAGTAATGTCAGACTCAGAGAGAACTAGGCAAAAAATAATAACCAAAAAAAACCGGCCAGAATTATATAATTGAAATATCTCAGGATGACTGTTACATGTACTTACAAAATGGGCCACCCCCTGCCTATGTATGCATTCCTTGACTCCCTACCCTTTAGGATTTGGATAGCCTGTGTGGCAGGTGCCGGTTAAGTGAGGATGAAGGGAAAATTTCAAGGACGTGTGTCCTAGTCAATTCAAATTATTGCCCTCTTCCCATGTTTTTATCAAATTAAAGTTGTTCAGATTTGGTCATAGATAATCAGTGTGCAAAAATGTTTGATGGAACTTGAGACATAATTTCACTATTAGTCAGAACTTTTACCTAATGCATTAAATATAACCTAATAACTGTAGATGTACACCGTATGCAGAGGCCAGTTGAACAAAACTTAACATTACAACATACATGGAATTATCATTCAGCATGACTGGTCCTTCCTTCAGGTTTAATAGGCTTTTAATGAACAAAATGGAGTTTTAAAGCCAATCAACATCTTTCTTGCCATAATAAGGGAAAAATAAAATTGAGTACCAGTAAGCACTTCCTGATGTATCTGAACTTTGTGCAAAATAAAAATACATTGTTCAAGGAGTTACGGTATCACTGATTTTCTCAGGTTGTAGGAAAACAGCTCCAAATTCCTCTCTGTTAATGTGTTGATCTGGGGAACTGGGTGTGTTAAATAAGTTGTCGACACAAAACGCATTTTATACAGGTGCAGCAAATCTCTTTAATATTCATCATTTTGTCAAGTGGGAAATAAATTAATATGATACTCCTTGTTGTATGCAGCTTTACAATAAAAATTGGGTCAGTACTTTTTTGATTTAGCTGCATGTGTTTGAGTTCTTTATGATCCTGGGAGAGCTTTTGTTGGCCCTTTGTACATACTGTGGGTCTATGCAGGTCCAGTCCACTGTGAGAGCCAGTTAGGGTCATGGTTCTCTTTCCGATCTTTAACAGCAATGTTTTGCAGTTTTCTCAACAAGCTTTCCCTCTCTGAGATAAATGGAGAAGAAAAAAATATATATATATATAATTATTACTTTTTTCCTAGAATGTTCATGGTCCCCTATTATTTGGTAAGATTGTTGAGATCGAGCACTTTGTGAAGGTCATCACTAAGATTTTAAGTTGCTGGGTAAATATAACAAGTAGGTGTGGAATCAAGCAGCTAGGGGTTTCTTCTGGTTCTATTTTTCTTCTATTTCCCAATGAAATAAGCTGGGGCCACATTCCTAGTAGCTGGGGGAAATCCTGGCCCCCCGCTCTTAATAATAACCCTGTTTCTGTTATGGGCAGGCCACAGCCATCTTGGATAAGTGTCAAAACTACTTTTAAAAGGCAAAGCGTTTGATCTTGACTATCTTACGGAAAAATAGTGGACTGTGAACAGTCTACTTTTTTCCAGATGGAAAACAGGAAAATGCAATGTTGTAAATTGTATCAAGTTATAGACAGGTACACTTATCCGTCCCTAATCTGTGTTATAATGTAGCCTATGAGGCATGTTGCAAGTAGAAGCCAGTGTTTAGCTAGGAAAAGCACAGATTGAGAGTGGAGAAAAAAAGTCAGGGAGGAAGGAAGCAATACTTTCATTGTCATCACCCTTCACATGTCTCATTTAGTACCATGAATGCAGGTATAATAAGTAAAAGGACAAAATTTTCTATTATTTTGTGTTAGTTGCAAAGGCATAAAAGACTGTTTTGTTACCATGTGGTTTTGCAGTTCTCAGGTATTCTTCCAGTGCTGGAATTGGGCCTGATTTAAACCTTCTTTCTTTTTCCTACAACAAGCAAACACAAAACAGTAAGCATGGTTAGGCATGGCATATTTCAAATGTTAGATAGACCCTTCAACACCACTGGAAAGAGCACCTTAAAATTAGTAAAGTTGCCATAGTTTGAAAGTGATACATCTTAACCAAGCGAAGATACAGCCCCTCAAAGTTGCATAAATTTACAGAAGCTTGTATGGGGGGGGGGGGGGACTTTTTTACCCCGGTGTAAAAGCCGTGTGTTTAAGGCAAAAAAAAATTTTTTATAAATAGCTTTCGTGTTTGAGGGCTGCTAAAAAAAGCAATACCATCCCTTCCACTAAAAACTCAGAACAAAAAAACTATTATAATCGCCCCACACACACACGAACAAAAAATACTAAAAAAAAAATATAGGTGAGTTTAAATAAAAATAAAAACCACAAAAAAAAGACAAAAACCCCCTCCAATAATTTTAAATATAATTGGTGGGTGGGGGGGGGGGGGGGGGGGGGGGGAGTTCTTGTACTCTGAGCTAAAGTCGTGTGTTCTAAGCCAAACAATAATTATTATTAATAGACTTCAGGTTTGCAGGCTGCTTAAAAAAGCCAGATCAGTCCCTTCACTACAAACATGCAACAAAAAAAGATTCCAGAATCGATACTATGTTGTAATTGCACTTTTATAAGTACCAGACTAGAGATACAAATATTTAGTTGTTAACAATAGCTGGTCTTTGAAATCCTTGCCTGAGGTACCATTGGTTTTAAGGAACAAAGTAAGTGAGGTTTGAAGTGTGGTGATTATATTACAACTCTTACCATAACCTTAAGTGCAGCAGATTTGTCAACATAGTCCCTGGCGTAATGCGTCCTTCCATACAAGTGCATTTGAGGTGAATTATACAACACTGTAGGGACTAAAAATTAAAACAAACAACACTTTTTATTAAAAATTAATGTCCTGTAAGGAAACTGAACTTGACACAGGCATTGGGGTGTCATCCCCTTTTCCTTTCTCCAGATCCTCATTCCCTGAGTCACGAGGTTCCTCACAGACAGCGATAGGCAGAAATCATATGTATATGATGACAAACAAACTCATGGGTATGACCCTCAGTCCTCGTAAAACTATAAGTCAAATTAAAAAATCCTTCAGTATGCACCAGTCATCACCCCTCTTACAAAATGAGCTGCTAGTTAATTGCAAAGTTTAACCCGTTCAATCCCGCCAAAATAATAAAAATTATTCATTATATTTAATTTATTTTTACTATTTTTGTCAGTTTATAAAGTTACATGACAAAACAACATCATCATCCATTTTCACATATACAACAACATGTACTGCAAATTGATGATAATTTTTTTATTATTACATGTTTTAAAGTTTAATTATTTTTTTCTATGTGTATCTGGCTTAGTCTGTCATTGTCTGTTGTTTTAGTTTTTTCAGTCCAGTACTTAATAGACCTTGTTTATATAGAGAAAACTTGTCTTTGGTAGAAGGGTCACTTGCCTATACCTTGACTACCCAGCTGGGCGAGCCAACTTTTCCTACCCATTTCCTTACAAAACTTGGCAAACTGTTTATTACATAAGAAATCAACAGTTTGCTCAGCTAGATCTATACACAGTACGCATCCTGGCTGGAAGGTTGATTGACTCGCCTAGCCGGATCAGCCTTTTTCGATGGTAGGGTCATCCTCCTTGCTGGGCCAAATTTTCTCCATATAACCACTTTGGCTCACCCAGCCAGGTCAACTTGGTTAAGATAAGAGAATTAGAGCATGGGTGAGCACTGTTGTCAGCCTTTGGTTTGAGCAAAGTGGTAAACATTTTTTCTCGTACAAACGCTTGCTCAAGTTGACTCACCTAGCTGGAAGGGTGGCCCCTCTTTCTCAAGACAACTGTTATATAACTGTTGTATAAACGGGAGACTTCCCAATTCAAGCAACCCCTATCATGGTTATCACAGGCAGCCAGTAGGCTCTTGCTGGTTTAATTTCAGTTATTTAGTTATGTAATCGATTGCTAGGCCTGCCTAAAGAGTGCAAAAGTGTTGTTTTCTACACTCTTGTTACCTGCATGAGTTTCTTGGAGTATGCTTCTTTGGAAATAAAGCTGCTTAGGAATTGACCTGATGTTGTCTTTATTCACCTACCTGCACCAACAGCTGGTTTGTACTTGTTCTTGTTGCATCCAAAACGACTAAAGTTTTCAGACATCTCGCCTTTCAGGGCAGGTGTCTGGTAACTGTATCGTGATGTGGTATTCAAGGTGTAGGGTGGTTTGTACAGTGAAGGTACAAGATCTCCTTCAAATACTGTGCAGATATTCACACCTGCAAATAACATGATAACTGATGATTAAATTAATACAAACTGCAAGCTACATCCTGAAATAAATTACTTATAGTACAGTAAAGTTAGAGGAGTTGCTTGTACATGTTAGAAGGCAAAACACTCAAAACAAAAAGTTTTGCACACCTGAAGTGTACAGATGGGTTCTTAATTAGGTTATTTTTTTCAGAGATGGAGAAGGTCTAATGAGATCACTTTTTTTGAGGTGGGGTGGGGAAGATGTACATCCCTAGCCTGAATTTTAAAACTCTTTCTTTCATGTAGCATATTTGTAGGCTCAATTGCCAGATGCTTGGTGAAAATGAACCAGACTTGGAAGAGTGGCAGAAATTGAGCCATACCCACATAATTATTTTTTACCTTGTGGAATGCCTGTGTAGTCAGACTGATACGTAGATTTAATTTGCTCTTTAGAGACCTCATTCATTGCCTCGGGACTTATCTCCTCATCAAGGAGTGCTGGAAAGCGGCATGGAAATTTCCAAATCATAAAGGCCTGCAAAATATTATTTTCATAATAAATATTTATATGTAGGTCAATCTAGTAGCCTTTATGCAAATGTCGGATGAGGGAGGGGGTTGGTTGCTGTCTGATGGACGAAAATATTGCAATGCATCTGGTCTATGCACATGAGATTTATTTAAAAAGGATTGTTTTTAGTAGTTGATGTGTATTTCTGGTTATTTCAACAACTGGACTGAGTATGACAATAACAGCTGTTTTGAACCTTATTAAGTGGCCACCTATTCAGCAGCCAGTGATCAAAGTCCCAAAATAATTATTGTTGAAGAAAATTTTAAATTGAATCTCTATTAAGCGGCCACGGCTACCTTTTGGCCATCTGAAGGAGAGTAATTATTCCATTGTTGTCATCTCTATTAAGGGGTCATCAAACGTTTCATAACACTAGTTAACTTTTTTAACACTATGACAAAAGAAACCACCAACTCTGAGCTCACCCAAAACAGAACTCCCGGCTAATGCAGGTTAGTTTGATTGATTTGTTAACTCTGCACAATTTTTAGCCTACAAAAACATCCGTTTCTCCTCGCTCTTCGCCACTGGGGACGTTTCGTGCAGAGGAACGTCTGCAACTCAGCGACAGAAATTCCATACTGATGATGTAAAATGTGTCCGGAATCCGGTCAGAAGCACTGGTTGGTCAACAGAGTAGTTTCATTGTTTTAGCTATTGTTTACGAATGACAGTCTTGACAGACAAAGACAAAAGGCGACAGAGGTCAAATGTAAATGTGAAGAATCTCTGACAAAACAGTCAATATTTGTGGAATATAGTCTTCTCTAGAAGAAGTATTTGAATTTTGCTGGAGCTCTTTGGCAGATGAACACAACACTACCAAAATCAACCAGAGGACACATAAAATTGGACAAATTTATATTTGGAACCCCATGACTACCGAATTTATCATGTAAACATTGATTTGCATCATCAGTATGGAATTTCTACCGCTGAGTTGCAGACGTTCCTTCGTGCGAAACGTCCCCAGCTACGAAGAGCGAGGATAAAC